GTTGACTTTGGGTTATACTGTGAAGTGCTGCAGGGCACTTTCCTGCTCCGCTTGCCTTGTGTGCCTTTGCCCCCAGGCAGGGTCCCAGGACGTTCTGTCTGATGCATCCTTTGTCCCCAGAAAGCCATCTCTGTCCTGGAGATGGAGAATGGCTATTGGTGGTGCAGGAAGAAGCAGCAGCGGGCAGGCGTGATGCTGACCGTCGGCACTAAGCCAGATGGCAGCGCCGATGAGCGCTGGTGCTTCAGGTGAGTGAGTGGCGGGAGGGTCTCCTGGGGCCTTGCTGTCCAGCAATCCCTGGGGCACAGCTGCCAGGAGCCAGGTCTGGTGGGAAGGGCAGGTACAAAGAGCACCAGGGACTGAGCCTGAGCAGATGAGGTCAGGGGTCTGGATCTCACAAGCCATGGCTGCCACATGACTGGCCATCTGCCTGTCCCAGTGGCTTAAACTGAAGATCCCCTCCTGGTGATCTCAGACTCCTCCTTGTAGCCTGAAATGTGGTACAGTAAGGAGGCCAAGAAGTCAGAGGGACCCTTGGGTTCCCAGCACTCTAGCCTTGCCCTGGCTGCTCTGTGTCCCCCCACCTCCAATTCTGCCAGCCTGATCTCGGAGCTACAACCCCTTCCATGGAGAACGTGCCCTTCTGTGTCCAGGAAAGGCTGGGACACTGGGAGAGGGAACCTAGCGACAAACACACAGCTAAAAACAGATACTGTCGTGAGGCAGCAGATGAGCAGAGAGAGCAGAGAGCAGAGAGAGCAGATGAGCAGAGAGAGCAGAGTCTCAGGCGTGAGGAACAGCCGTGAAAGTCCCCAGAACCCGGGAGCACAGATACACCTGATCTGAATTCCTCTTTTCTAGTTGCTCTGGGCAACCCAGGCTGCTGTGAGCAGCCAGAAGCAATGGATGCTGATTCCTGCAAGTGGGCACCTGCCTCACAGGACAGGGCTCCAAGTGGGTGGCCCAGAACCCTGCAGAGAGAAAGCCTGTCCTCCTCAGGGCCTCTGTGTCCACCAGAGCATCTCTGTGTAGTCTCCCAATTTGGGGGGCCAGGCCCCTCTCTGGGGTGGGGGGGCACGGTCAAAGCAGGCAAACCTCAGAGCTCCTCTGTTGCCCTCAGGGTGGAGGAGGTGAACTGGGCTTCGTGGGAGCAGACGCTGCCTACGCTGTGTGAGGACCCGTCAGGGGCAGGCGTCCCTCGTAAGTAGGCTGGCGACTGGAGCCTCTGCCCTGGGGTGTGTGTCTCTGCTGCTTGGCCACAAAGCCTTGGAGAGTCTGGGGCGGGACCCAGAGACCTCCTCATAGTCACTTTGCAGATCCCTGCACACCAGCTCCTCTTACAGGGATTGCCTCCTTAAAACAGTGGTTTCCTCCTTTCCTTTCCATCCACACCTTGCTTTCAGGCAGGAACCAGGGAAAACCTCTGAGGCTCTTAGCGCTTCCACCAGCCCAGCCTCTGGCTGCCCTCTCTCCGATGCCAGTCAGTCACAGCCTTTGCCCATTCAATTGATTATCAAGGGTCTGTCCCTAGCCAGGCCTGGGCTGAACCTGGGGACTCAGCAGGGGAATAAGTTAGGAAGGGCTGTGTCACAGCACAGCCCACAACAGAGGCAGCATCTCCCTGGACCCTCAGAGGAACTGCCCTGCATAGGCCCTCAGCCCCTTCACACCCCAAGTCCCCCACCTCTGAGAAACCACTTCCCATGCCTCCCCCATGTCCGTGGCCTGTGTCCTCTCCATTCTAGTGTAGTGATGGCCCCTCCTGTCCCCACCCTGCTGCCTCCACCAAGATCGGTTCCTTCCTCCCACCCTCAGAGGCCTGAGGATTAGCTGTCTCCCCTGCATACCCTTTCTTTCTAGAACCTTCAATAGCTCCCACCTTCCACTGGTTCACCTCCTCTCCTTTCTCCATCTCTTTCCTGACAAATTTCACTTGCTTCTGCCTGTTGTCCCCCACAATAGCCTCCTGAGTCACCTATGGCCCCTGTTGTAGGGAGGCTACTCTGGCCTCTTCTGCCCCACAGCCTGCTGGTTTCCCAGGCTCCTGGGCCGTGACCATGGCCTCACATACAAACAGGTTTCCCTTCACCCTCTCTTTGCATCTCCCTCCCTTCACTACGATGCCAGGAAAGTCACCTCTGAAAGTCATCTTGTCCCTCCCTCATCTTGCCCCAAGCACTCCACACCCCACTGCCTGCTGGAGCCTCCAATGTGACATTCCCAACAGGAGCTGCCTTGGGGTTGCCCCAGCAGGTCACATGTATGTCACCTCACCCCCTCCTTACCCAGGTAGAAGGCCTTGAGTCTCAGCCTATTCCCCCCGCTATACCGACTCTCCCACCTGGAGCTGAGTGTCCTTGACCTCTCAGGCGGCCACTCATCCCTCTGCCCTGCCTCTCACTTCTGCTTCTGCACCACTGCAGGGTGGCCCAGCCTGCACCTTATCCCATTCCAGTCCTGCTAATGTGGACAAAAACTACATGCAGCCCACACTACACAATGCCTCCCGCTGCCTGGAAGGCTGCACTCCTCAGAGCGGAGGTCAGGGCCCAAAGCTGTCTAACCCACTCCCCACACCTCCATCCAAGGTGGCGTCTGCAGTGCCCCTTGTTCTTTGCTTTCCTTGGTTCATCTCTGGATTTGTCTCTGTGAGAAGTGCTCTTCCTCCCCTCTGGGTGTCCAAATCTGCCACCTCCCCTGCGGGATGGGTCCCCTCTCTCCTCTGAGCTCCCCCCAGCATGTCTCAGGTGTTCTGATCTCTGACACACAAGTCTGTCACCTCCAGGCACTTTAAGCTCCTGGGGGTGTTGGGAAGCCCCTGATATGGCAAGAGATTGGGAAATGCTTGTGGAGTGAGGGAAGCAGGGAGAGGGACTGCTGGCCTCCAGAACTGCTGAGGCTGTCCCCATGGCATGACATGTTTTCATGACTGTGGCCCCTTGTTTCCCTGGTGCCTGCTTCCTGGGGACACACTCGAGGATTAAGCTACAGTGCTTGCCATCTGTTAACAGGAACTCTCAAGAACCCTGTCCTGGCTTCCCCACCCAAGGATGAAGATGGTGCCTCTGAGGAAGACCATGTGCCCCTCAAGCCTCTCCAGTCCAACTGATGGCCCAGATGCAGCAGGAGGCTAGAGGACACAGCAGGGGATATTTCCAGCCACATCTGCTGGCTCTGGGGTCCCAGTGAATTCTGGTGGCAAATATATATTTTCACTAACTCTTCTGGAAACATTATTTGAGCAGAGTTGCTGGGACCCATAGAGCTGGTAATGTCTGCATGTCTCTGTGTACACAGGTCTGTGTATGGGACTAGGTTGCTCCTGCCCTTGCCTGGGCACAGAGACCCTCAGCTGCTGTGTCCCCACCCTCACCCCCACGTCCCCAAGTCTGGAGACTGCCCTCTTCCTGGGTGCAGGCAGCTGGCTGAGGTGCTGTGCCCATTGTGGCAGATATATGGTGGTGGACATGGGCAAACAGCCACCTCTCCTCTCTCTCCACCACGACACCCTTTGCTTTCCACACCCTCCCTGCTTTTGGGCAGGCACCTGGGAAAACCCGTTAAAGCCACCTCTCTTGCTTTCTCTTCCTACTGGGCTGCTTGCTCAATTCCCACCCCTCCCAAGCCATTCTCTGCAGGGCAGCCAGAGAGGCCTTCCTAAGATACAAGACAAACATGTCCTTTTTGTGCTCTGAAGGCCTGAGAGGCTCCCCAGTACCCACGGAATGCCCTAGCTGGCATCCCGAGACCCCCACGGTTTTGCCCAAGCATTTCCAGACACCTCCTCCCCTCCACCTCTGTTGCCCTTCCCTCCTTAGCACTCTCCCCAAATACAGGCAGGCCGAGGGACCTCGTGCTTGATCCCTTGACCTGGCTCTTGCTGGAAGCCCCCTCCTCCATTAAAACCGTACTCTTGCCAGGCATCTGTAATCCCAGCATTTTGGGAGGCTGAGGCAGGCAGATCACCTGAGGTCAGCAGTTCGAGACCAGCCTGACCAACATGGAGAAACCATGTCTCTACTAAATATACAAAACTAGCCCGGCGTGGTGGCACATGCCTGTAATCCCAGCCACTCGGGAGGCTGAGGCAGGAGAATCACTTGAACCCGGGAGGCAGAGGTTGCGGTGAGCGGAGATCGCGCCATTGCACTCCAGCCTGGGCAACAGGAGAGAAATTCCGTCTCAAAAAAAAAAAAAAAAAACCACAAAAACTAACAACAACAAAAAACCCTACACTTATTTCTAAGGCCAGCTCAAAAGGTGTTACATGACTGCCTTCCCAGTTTCTTGCAGTCAAAATGAATTTCGCTCCCTTGGTATAACGTGTGTGTGCAAAACGTGGTTGCATGCATTATTTTTCAAGGAGAGAGCTGAGTATGTTCATAGGCTGAAAGGAAAGCTTCAGTAGAGAGTTTTCCATGGAAAGTGAGACAGGGGCATAGATGGATGAGGCCCCAAGGAATGAGAGGAAAGAAGGTGGGCAGAGCTTTACCCCAGAGGCGAACAGAGGATGGACGTGGATCCAGATAAGACGTCAGCTCGTTCCCTAAAGGTCGTGCTGAAGGAGTAATGAGGGTGGCCAGTGCGCAGGGGTTTGAGAGGCCCCGTGGATATGGTGCTCTGGGGAAAGTATTTGGCGATGCTCAATAGTTCAGGAGAAGATACTAGGATGAATGGTTGCTGTGTGCCACGGTTCTATAGGGTTTCACGTGTGTTATCTTATGTGATCTTCCGGGGCGCCGGTGTCTCCGTCTTCTGGATGACCAATCGGAAGCTCACAGAGAATGAGTAATTGGCCCTAAACCACCCACCTAAGGCGTGGCAGAGGCGGGGCCGAAACGCGCGCTCCAGCCCTCGCGCAGGCGCCCTGGAACTCGCCCGCGTGTTGTGACCCAGAATTCCTGGGGCTGTGGAAGAGACCATAGGCTCAACAGGAGGGTGAGCCCTGGGTTGCGCGCCGGTCTGCATCGCTACTTGGCGGAAAGTTCCCATGAGTCTTTGCCAGCGTCCCCCTCCTTTTGTGAGGAATAGGATATCCCGACTCCTTAAGGGCCTGGAGCGCATAAGTTGTGACCTTTTCATTCCCGTTGTTATGGAGGTAGGGTCTCCGCGAATCTGGGAGTGGTAGCTGGGGGCAAAAGCAAATAAAGAGCTCGAGCTTCTGTGGTCTCTGGGGAGATGTTCCCGGGAAGCCTGGCTAGAGGGCCGAGGGCAGCTGTTGAGATGGCGTGGCTCCCCGGCTCCTGCGCTCGCGTGGCCTTCGGCCCGGTGTTGGACAGCCTGGCAGGGCAGCGGGGGGCTGAATCCGGCTGCCGTGGATGAGGCTCATGGATCACCCTTTTGTGGTAGGGCCACATCTGCCAGAGCCTGGAGTCTGCGAAGGCCGGGACCCGGTTCTCCGGCCCGCCGTGGGGAGTGTGCAAACCCGAGAGAGCTGGGTAAGTTGGTGTCGGCTTTGCAGTTTGGGGTACCCCGAGGGCGGTGTACGTCGGTAAGATTGTAACAGGATTACTGGAAGACTTACTCGACTGTCCTGATGATACTTGTAATAGGAAGTGCCGTCAGAAGCGATAACTGACGACGTTTAACGTCTATCTGACCGCAGTCGCTGAAACCTTTACAACTTAGTTGACCGTAACTGCCAGAACCTGCCCTGAATTCTTGTCCTTCACTCCCTCTTTCAGATTTCCTGCCCACCGCAGAGTGCTGAAGACCGGGTAGCCATGAGGTAAGAGGCCCTCTAGGGTAGGGTTTAACGTGGAACGTAGTTTTGTCATCTTGAATGCACGGAAATTGGCGTTTTGACAGTTTTCTACGTTTAGGTGTTTTATACACTTGAGGGTAATGTGTCAAATCATTGCATATGATGGAACTTAAATAGAAACTGGAGATGGCTGCCCACATTCCTAACCTAGAACTGCATTTAAAGCAAAGTGATAGGCAGAAGCAAACTCCTTCGTTAAGAAATGTCTCCAGTGGCAGCGTTAGATTTTTCAGGTAGGGTCTAGATCTCGAGCAGTACTGGAGAGTTGTGAGGTGCTTGACTGCTCTGATGAAATCACTAATAGGAAGTGCCGTCAGAAGCGATAACTGACGAAAACTACTCCTGTCTGATCGCAGTTAAGTCTTCACCACTTGCTGGTTCCCAGGAGTAAACTTGTCTGAACGGTGACCTAATTGCTATATTCACCTAGGTTGCAAATTCGTGAAGATATCAGCAGCATGTTTGGCAGCTGAGTATTGGAGCAAGGAGCCTGCCACAAGGTAAGCCTTGCTCTATGGGGAGGCTAGTGGCTGACCATGCCTAGCTGTCAGGTGGAATGTTGGCAATTGGATTTGGTTAACCTGATACCTTGTAACAGTGTAGCCTATCCCAGAGATACCGATTTTGCTTTCCGGTGGCATTGGAGCCAGGGTGGAATAGCTAGAAAGAGGGGCTACTCTATTTACCTCTTGGCTGTTTAGTCTTGGGCAAATTACCTGTCTGCTGAGATGTAGTTTTCCTCAGATATGAAAAGGAAAAGTAAGCTCTGTGATGTTTAAAGTGATGTGACTGAAATGTAGATTGCAACTCCCCTGAGGCTGGCTGGGCACGGTGGCCTATAATCCCATCACTTTGGGAGGCTGAGGTGGGTGGATCACCTGAGGTCAGGAGTTCAAGACCAGCCTGGCTGGTCAACATGGTGAAACCCCGTCTCTACCAAAAATACAAAAATTAACCGGTGTGGTGGTGTGTACTTGTAATCCCAGCTGCTTGGGGGGCTGAGCCAGGAGAATCGCTTGAACCCGGGAGGTGGAGGTTGTAGTGAGTTGAGATTGTGCTACTGCACTCCAGCCTGGGCAACAGTGAGACTCCATCCCCCCCCCCAAAAAAAATTACAACTCCCTGAGAAGCTAATTAAGATTTGTAGTCCTCAATAATTTACAAAAATTTACAAAAATTACTTCTAATAAGGTCTTAAGGGGCTTTTGTTAGGATGGACTTAAATTTGTAAAGTCATTAATTGACGCTGTCATCAGAAATGCCTCTCCTGCTCTGCAGTCTCTAAGATGTATGCACCTTCTCCATTCCCCCAGGTTTTGAGAACAGAGTGCCATTTTAGAGCTGGCGGCAGCATCTTAGCCCAAAAGAAGGTAAGCCTTGAGCTGGCTAATGACCCCCTCAACCGAATAGTGGAATGAATAAACAGCTGATCTTCTTAAAACTCGCTTGAAAAAAAGATATCAAATGATGAAATCACCCAAAATAGCTGGAATTACCGGCAGATTGTGTAGTGGTGAACCTACCTACGGTTTTCTGAAGATATCTCTTACCCTGTGATTGACTGTCAGTTGGTGCAGAAAGTGAGATTGAAATGTAGTTTCTTTGCAGGTTATATTCCCAGAGGATGTCAATCCCAAGGACCAGTAGCTGCCGTCAGTTTGGATTATGAAAACTTTAACCAGCATCAACATTGGGTGTAGAAACATGCTTGCTTTGTGTATCAGAGGACATGCTCAGCAGATCTAAGAGATATATTTGGCAACTTTTTATAGAAAAGGCACATTGGGTATCATTCATTACATTCTTGAGTTTTTTTGGTTTTTTTGTTTTGCTTTGTTTTGTTTTTTTTTTTTGAGACAGTCTTGCTGTGTTGCCCAGGCTGGAATGTGGTGGCACAATCACAGCTCATTGCAGCCTCAATCACCCAGGCCTAAGCAATCCTCCTGCCTTGTAGCTGGGACTATAGCTCACAGCACATCTGGCTAAAATTTTTTTTTTGTTGAGACGGATTCACTGTGTTACCCAGGCTGGTCTCAAGCTCCTGGGCTCAGATGGTCCTCCTGCCTCAGCTTCCAAAGGCATGGGCCACGTTGTAGCTTTGTCCCTTGCCATCCTGCCCAACAGGGGGTGCTGTACCTTTTAATGAATTGACTTTCATAAATTGGTTATGTTGGTGGGCAAGTTCTTTAAGCTGGAAATTGTAAATTCTTCCTGAAATGTTTTTTCATGCAGTTACCATGAACTAATACTACAATAAAGGATCGTCTTGGGTATCGATTCTTAAAAATGTGTATTTGAAGAAAAAGTAAATTTCGCCTACTATTGTCAGATATTAGCAGTCCAGATATTTGCTCTAGCTTGTAAACTTCCCTGTGGTCTGCCTAAGCTCTTAACCCCCATTCTACAGCTTTAGACTGAAGGCAGAAATTCAAAGCATTTCGGCCCCTGCTGCTCTGTTGGCTGTTCCTTGGTGTAGCTTTCTTCCAGCTCCTGCAGCACTGCACCATTCCTAACCACAACCTTAACAGCACGCAGGGCCCATACTCTAGGCCCCATCTTGCTGTCTTCCTGTGTTGGAATCTTGCTTACCAAGGCCTGTCGGAGCGTACTCCCCATACTGTTTTCTCACAAGGTTCAAGAGTGATTGGCTCCCAATCTCCCAGCTACTTGGGGGTCTGAGCCAGGAGAATCGCTTGGCTCTTAGATCTAGGGGTTGCCTGTTATTTAGAAGAGATTCCTTAACTGGTAGGGCCCTTTCACTAGGAGAGCATTTGGGTAAGGGGAGGGTGTAAGATGAGAACCTTTGCTAAGTTAGGCTCCTTTGGGAGCCCCCAGTTTGTTTCTCCCTCTCCCCAGTCATCTTGCTGGATCTGCCAAGAGACTGGACTCTGTCATGGTCCTAGGTTTTTAAGGTTTTAAAGCCCACCTTCTGCAGCAGGTTTTCTGGAATGTGTTAGTGGATTACTTAAGAGTTATGGGAAAAGAGTTCCTGTGGCCTGTCTAGGTCAGTGAAGTCATACTGGCAAGTGACGAGAAGGAAGCCAGGCCTGTCACTTGGACTGCATGCTAAGGACATCAGATCCCACACAGAAGTCTGGTAGTTTTTCAGCCAGCAGTGGGTAGGGAAGGTTGATAAGGGATTTCTGAACAGGACTTTATGCCTGTATGCATGGGCACCATGTCTGTCCTGAGCACTGCCACAGGGCATCATAGGCTGCTCTGATTGTTAAAGGGCATAGTGATAGCTGGTCCTATGGGTAGATACCTGAAATCACAAGGTGGGCCTCAGAAATGGGACTGAGTCTCCATAAGGAGGTAGACCACGTTCAGTCCACTCGTAGCATAGATGGAACTGGGGTCTCTGGCAACCAACCCCTTCCCCCCAGGTTCTTGAGTTACAGGAGTTTTGCTAAAGATTCCCACCTCCCTTGAGTAAGGACACGTTCATCTGGTTGGAGCTTGTTCCCCTAAATGAAAAATGTGATGCAATGCAGGTAGGGGCCCTACTGTATAATTTTTCTGGGGGAAAGCTCTTGGTTTTCACAATGGCTCAGGCTTCTAGTACCTCCAGCCATGTGCCCATTTCCACGTCTTTGGGGAAGGCCATGGGCTGAGCTGAGAGAGTTCTCTGGGGCCTGGGATGACTTAAGAGCCAAATGGCAGATAATGGGATTGGGGGCAGATGGAGAGGACCAATGGGAAGTGTTAACACATCACCTTCCCCAGATGCTATGGTTTGCCTTTCTGTAGGTGGGTGGCCCAGGCCAATTTTTGGCAATATCCTTAACCCACCTGATAGAAGCTCCCTCCCCTTGTGCATTCTACCCAACAAGGACTCCCTGGTGAGGCCCTTCACTTCCATGTCACGTCTGAGCTGCAGCTACAGTCTCCTTGCCCTCATGGTGGTCTTCGGCAGGTGCCACAGGGCCCCCTCCAGGGTCTTCCTGGCCTACTGTGCCTTCCCGGACCTCCTCCCCACTACCCGGGCCCTCACCCAGCTCCAGGATGGTGGGTAGGTGGCCCTGCTTTGGTGAGCGCTTGCGCAGGCTGAGCAGGAAGGGCTGGGGCAAGGAGAAGATGTCCACGTTGTTGCCCAGGTCAATCCACGTGACATTGGGGAACTTGCTGGGATCCTTAAGGATGTCAGTGAGGTCGCGCAGCACAGCCCGGGTCAGCCGGTTGCCATTGAGTGCCAGTGTGGTGAGGCGGGGCAGGGTGCTGAGCGCCGGCAGCAGCTGCAGGACCATGTCATCCGTGAGGCCTGTGAAGCCCAGCTCCACGCTGTCCACCTGCTCCCCACAGCGCTGTAGGTAGCTGGTCACCCGCTCCAGGTCTCGGGAGGTCAGTGGGATGCCCGACAGGTCCACTGTGTTGTCTGGGGGGTTCCCGGCCAGGACAGCCTTGAGGCTGAAGGGAAAAGGGACAAGGAAGGCTCAGGCACATGGGGCAGGCCTTTCCCCCAGAAGCTGCAGTGCCAGCCTCTGCTCGGCTCTCTGACACTAGGGACCGCTTTTACGAAACGCTTGGAGGTTCGGACGCCACAAGTGCAGAGGTGGATGTAACCAGGGACCTCAGTCCCCTGACATTGCTGCACATCTCAGCTGTCAGGGCCCAGCTGGCCATAGCCTGAGGTATATGGCTGCCCTCATTTACCAGAAAAATTGAGTTAAGAGTACCATTGGGCTGTTACATGAAATAAGTTCATAAGTGCAAAATAGTGCCTTGTATAAGTGAGTGATGAATAAACATTTGCTGCTGTATTCATCACTTCGACTCAGCTTCCCACTTCTACCACCCTTGGGTGGCAGCTCAGCTCCCATGAATGGCACAAAGGATATCTGAGTCCCCTCTTTCAAGACCATCTTCCCCACCGAGAAGGATTCCCTAGGGGGAGCCGGTAAGACAGCAGGCAGGGCAGGGCTCAGGGGCTCTGAGCCTGGTGGCAGCTGCTGACTCCTGGAGGCTGAGTGCCTTACTCCTTGCTTCTGCTTGCTCTTGGGACAGACCCCAAGCAGCTCAAGCTGAAGGCAAGTGTGCCTTTCCCGGCACACCCCCACCCCCCACCCCACCCCCGCTGTCTGTTTGCTGGCTCCAGGCCCAGGTGCAGAGGTGAGATGTTCATTTTCCGCATTTCTTTTCTTTTTTTTTTTTTTTTTTTTTGGAGACAGTCTCACTGTCGCCCAGGCTGGAATACAATGGCACGATCTTGGTTCACTGCACCCTCTGCCTCCCGGGCTCAAGGGATTCTCCTGCCTCAGCTTCCTGAGTAGCTGGGATTACAGGCGTCTGCCAACATGCCTGGCTAATTTTTATATTTTTAGTAGAGACGGGTTTCACCATATTGGCCAGGCTGGTCTGGAACTCCTGAACTCAGGTGATCCACCCATCTTGGCCTCCCAAAGTGTTGGGATTACAGGCATGAGCCAACACGCCTGGCCATTTTCTGCATTTCTTTTTCTTTTTTCTTTTTTTTTTTTGAGATGGAGTTTCATTCTGTCACCCAGGCTGGAGTGCAGTGGCACCATTTCGGCTCACTGCAACCTCCGCCTCCCGGGTTCAAGCAATTCTCCTGCCTCAGCCTCCCGAGTAGCTGGGACTACAGGCATGTGCCACCACGGCTGGCTACTTTTTTTGTATTTTTAGTAGAGATGGGGTTTCACTGTGTTAGCCAGGATGGTCTCGGTCTCCTGACCTCATGATCAGCCCACCTCGGCCTCCCAAAGTGCTGGGATTACAGGCGTGAGCCACGGTGCCCTCACCTCGGCCTCCCAAAGTGCTGGGATTACAGGCGTGAGCCGCGGTGCCCAGCCCCATTTTCTGCATTTCTAAGTGTGCTGGGAAGGAGAGGGAGGTGGAAGGGGCTCCCAGCCCGCTCCAAGAGCATATGCTACTGTCAGCAGCTCAAGGGTCATGGCCTGTACTTCCTGGCAACACAGGGCACATTCGTCCTTGAGATCTAAGCTGGGAGGCTGTCCACAGTTTGATCATTTTGATTCTGACTGGGGTCCAGCCCCAGGGAGCTGGAAGGTAAAGCTCTCAAGGCGTGACATTTAAATGCTTAGAATGCTGTCAGCCATCTGTGCAGCTTGATTTAAGTGTTGGTGCTATTATCGATGCCATTCCACCAGGGAAGCAGTGTGGTAGTGAACAGCCTGAGCTGGGTTTGAATTCAGCCCCACCGCTTACCAGCTGGATGATCCTAACCAGTCAATTGACAACAGTGATATCTCCTCCCCAATTTGTTGCTTTTTGTTTTTTGGAGACAGTCTCACTCTTGCCCAGAGGGGAGTGCAATGGCGCGATCTTGGCTTGCTGCAACCTCTGCCTCCCAGGTTCAAGTGTTTCTCCTGCCTCAGCCTCCTGAGTAGCTGGGATTACAGGTGTGCACTATCAGGCCCAGCTAATTTTTTTATTTTTTTATTTTTTTATTTTTTATTTTTTGAGACGGAGTCTCGCTCTGTCACCCGGGCTGGAGTGCAGTGGCCAGATCTCAGCTCACTGCAAGCTCCGCCTCCCGGGTTTACGCCATTCTCCTGCCTCAGCCTCCCGGGTAGCTGGGACTACAGGCGCCCGCCACCTCGCCCGGCTAGTTTTTGTATTTTTTAGTAGAGACGGGGTTTCACCGTGTTAGCCAGGATGGTCTCGATCTCCTGACCTCATGATCCGCCCGTCTCGGCCTCCCAAAGTGCTGGGATTACAGGCTTGAGCCACCGTGCCCGGCCAATTTTTTTATTTTTAGTAGAGACAGGGTTTCACTATGTTGGCCAGGCTGGTCTTGAACTTTCTACTTCAGGTGATCCGCCCATCTCGGCCTCCCAAAGTGGTGGGATTACAGGCGTGAGCCACTGTGCCCGGCCCATTTGTTCTTTTAACAAACATTTGTTAAACTCACCTGTGTGCCAGGCAGTATCCTAGACACTAGGGTCACAGTGGTGAACAGGATGGACAAAATCCCTGTTCTTCCTCTACCAGGGGGAGACAGACCACACACAAAACCATGTGAGTGTGGGGTGACAGAGTAGCGTGGGGCTGTGGCTACTCAGGAGAAGGTAATGTGTGAACTGACACATGAAAAAGCAAGCATGGGCCATCAGAAGAGTTTGCCGAAGGTTCCAGCAGAGGGCACAAAGGCCCCGAGGCTGGAAAGGGCCTGGTGTGTCTGAACCAGCAGGAAGGCCAGTGTGGCTGGGGTGGGAGAGCAGGAGAGGTGAGACCAGGGGGCGAGGACGGCAAATCAGAGGCCCATGCTTGAATTTTTTTTTTTTTTTTTTGAGA